CTGCTGCTATCTGGCGTGAATTTGGGGAATAAAATCTGAGTGTAGTTCAGATACAAATTTGTTTTCTGCACCCATCTTGTGTGCATCTAGACAATTATACTTGGGTGTTATTTTCAAAATAACCAAGAGGTGGCAGCAGGGAAAAACTTTACATAATGACATGCCCTGGGTGTTATTTTCAAAATGAACATGAAAAACCAGCAGAAATAACTTTATGAGCACCACTGTCACGTTATTCCCAAACTTCCCACCAGATGGCAGCAGAGAATTAATATTCATGATAACAAACACTCGAGTGGTTTTTCTAAAATGCCCACCAGATGGCAGCAGAGACTAACTTTTTATGACCTACATCTACGTGTTATTTTCAAAATGCCCACGAGATGGAAGCAGATAATAAATTTTCATGACTTGCACTTGTGTTTTTATTTATACAGGCAACAAATATTAATAGAAACTTAGGTCCTAATAGCCAGTTTAAGAGGTATAACACTATGACTGTTTTACAGGTGAGCGAATTGAGGCACAGCGTGTAATTTCTGTAGCTGGAATTGTCTCAAATCTAATAAAGACCACAGCACGAAAAATGGCTCCTAGTCTTTTCTACTCCATGAAACCCCAGTCTTTGGAGAGGAAGACATAACAGGCAACCGAATTCTCAAATGATCACTTATTTTGGCACTGCGGACACCTGCCGATCCTACAATCAGCATTGTGCCTTCAAAAACAGTTTTGCAATATCAGAGCATGGCCTCTGATACTACTCTGATATAGCTAAATGCTAAGTTTGAGCTGCTTATCTATTTCCTCATGTTTGCTTTTATCACAGAGCTTTCATCATATACTCTAAGAACATAGTCTGTCCCCTGTAAGTTACTGTCAGCTACCCATCCCTTCCATCAGCTTCGCGCTCAGTCCTGATGGGAAGTGCAAAGGACTACACTCTCATTGTTGGGAGTTCTGGGGAGATTCGGAATCAAAAATATTTGCCTACTCCAGATTGACTTATGACTATTAAAAGGAATAATTATTTGTCCTTTGGGTCAAGTCAGAGATTTCGGGGATTTAACTGCTGTAATATGTAAATGAATTAAGCTACAAAAGAGTCCTCCTGAATTTTGGTTTGGTACAGATCTTTACTGTTAAACACAGGTCATGGCAGGTAGCCACATCCTAGGCCTGTAGCTTCGTTAACGAAGGTCAATCTTTGCCTAAAGTGAGCCAGTCTGTTTTGGTTTTTTTTTTTTTTTTTTTCAACTAAGGTAACCCCCCTTGGAATGTCAGAGTAATCTCCTTTTCCAGGGACCTCGGGGCAAAGCCTCCTCACCAGAGCATAGACCACAGAGCCCCTCATGTTCCCCACATACCATCTCCATGAGCTGTAAATGTTAATTATTAACTATCCTGTACCCCACTTTGCTTTCTCCCACCTCCTTAATCTACCACAAATGGATCTCATGTAACCTTCCTTACTTCTCCGTTGATTCTAACGTATAAAATAAGCTGCAAACTGCCATAATCTGCAGCATTTTCTCAATCCCTTGAGATTTTGCTTCCCGGCAAGTGTTGTCAGTTTGGTTCAAAGAAACTCATAAAAATTCTCTGCAGGTTTGGATGTTTTCGACAGAGCTCATACGACTTAACACCAACGAAACAAAAAAATTCAATTTAAAAAATGGGCAGATGACCTAGACAAATATTTCTCCAAAGAGGACATACAGATGGCCAATAAACATGAAAAGATGGTCAACTGTCACTAATCATGAGAAATGCAATTCATAACAATGAGATATCACCTCATAACTATTATCAAAAAGTCACACCAAATTACAAGTGTAGGTGAGGATATAAAGAAAAGGGACCCCTCCCATCATGCACTATGGTTGGGATTGTAAGTCAGTGCAGCCACAATGGAAAACAACATAGAGATTCCTCAAAGAATTAAAAATAGAATGGCCATAAAAGCCAGCAATACCACTTCTGAGTATTTCTCCAAAGAAAACCAAAACACCAATTTGAAAAGATATATTCATCCCAATGTTCACTGTATCATTGTTTACAATAGCCAAGATGTGGAAGCGACCTTTGTTCATCCATCTGACAAATGGATGTGGTGCATGTGTGTGTATTGCTCATCCATAAAAAAATAATAATAATAATAATGAAACCTTGACATTTCTAACAGCATGGATGGACCTAGAGGGTATTATGCTAAGTCAAATAAATCAGACTAACACCAATACTGCATGATCTCATTTATATGTGCAATCTAAAAACCCAAAGCAAATGAATAAACAGAAGAGAAGTAGACCCAGAGATACAGAGAATGCGCTGATGATTGACAAAGGGGAAAGGAGATGGGTGAAATCAAAAATAGATATAAAGGTATTGCTGTGTAAGGATATGGGTAGAGCCATGTTCAAAAAAATATAAAGAAAAAGCAGTAAGGGAATGAAAAAAAGGCCTTGTCTTTCCTGGGACATAGGCTGAAAAAATTTTTTTAAATAAAAAAACAGATGTTTTAGTAGTTGCTCCATAAGCCCCCTTAGGTACTTGAGCTGCTCACTGATATCAGTTGTAAAAAATTTTATGGCAGTCAGGAAATCTGGCTAAATACTTACTCAACAAAAATACCGTTGAAATGAAGCAAATTAGTTGTTATACTTGTTTCATAAAATGGACTCTAATCAGCTTTCCTAAAACATTTTCCAAAGTGGGAAAAATGTCATAGAAGCTTAAGGAGAAATTTCTCACTTCAAAGGAAAATATTGTTAACATAGAAATCTTAGAAAAACTACAAATTGATTCTTACTATTAAAACTGCAAAGGAATCTGAAAAAGTTTCTCACAGTATGACTCCAACTGTATAACATTCTGGAAAAGGCAAAACTTGGGAGACAGTGAAAAGACTGGTGCTTGCCAAAGTTTGGGGGTGGGGGAGGGTTGAATAGGCAGAGCGCAGAGGATTTTTAGGGCAGCAAAACTATGCTGCATACCATAATGGTAGGAACATGTCCTGACACATTTGTCCAAACCCACGGAATGTATACCACCAAGAGTGAACCCTCAGGAAAAGTAGACTTGGAGTGATAATGATGTGTTAGTGTAGGTTTATGAATGCTAATATACAACTGTGGAGGAGCGGAGAGTATAAGGAAAATCACTGTACTTTGTTCTATTTTGCTGTGAACCTGAAATCATTCTAAGAAATAAAATGTTTTCAAAAAACAAAACTGCAGAACTAAGAAAGCAAACATGACTTCCAGGATTTTGCTCTGAATGTCCTGGCTTGCCCTAAGTACCTACCACAAAAGAGAGTCATTTTCTGTCCTGTAAATCTGTCCAATCAGAATCACATATGAATGGATTTATGCAAATCCTGATAGCTTTTCCATTTTGAAATAGTACCTTAAGTCAAACAATGGAAGTGATTAAATCCTCCTGCCATAATCACAAAGCCTCATTCTATTCTTACTGGCATGCTAGAAGGATAAATTGAAATTATCCTAATGCTGTTAAAATCAAAACAAAAGCTTTAAAGAGGCTTAGTTAAAATTAAAATCCAAATAAAAGCAGCAAAAAGAAAGTTGTTTCTTGTTTTTTTTTGACTTAGTGGAAGATGTAGAAACTCTGCGCCAGTCGACAATCCTTTTCCCCTGTGCACTTACAAAAGCCAATTGTTTAACACCCAGTCTTCACTCGGCCAGGGTAGGCTGAGACAAATGGAACAGTCTCAGTGGCTTAACAAGCGTATGTTTTGATCACGCAAAGCCCACTGGCTGTCCAGCTGACCTACATGTGCTTAACTCAGAAATCGAGACCCCTTTGGTGTTGCGGCCCCACCATGTCAATGAGGCCTCCTCTACGATGCTGCCACAGCAGAGGACACGAGTTTGTCACTAGCCTGGTCTGGGAGCAACACAGTGCTTCCACTCATGTGTAACTGGTCAGAACTAGCCATGGCCTACCCACCGAGAGCCTGGGAGGTATGCTTTTCTTAATGGAAGGAACTAAAGGAGTACAGATATTGGTGAACACTAACAGCTCATCAAGATTAAACCCACATCTGATGATCTAACGATTCTAGTACAGAGTTTGCAGAATCTAGTAAAACAAATGGTTAGCATGCCCATCGAACTAGCTACTCCAACATCCCAACTTCATGGAAGGCTGACAAGAGACAGAAGAGTGATAACGGTCTATCTTTACACTGCTATGGCCAGACAGGTGTTGCGGGTTAAAATGAAACCATGAACTTTGGACACCAGGGTCAGTAAGCTATCATGAACATGTGAAAGTTGATCATTTGCACTCACACCTCAATCAGCAGAGATGGGAGCAGCAGAGAGCTAAGTAGAAGAGGTCAAGTCTCAAATACTCGTAAGGACTTATGGAGAGCTCCCTAGATGCTGTGTGTGCTGGGTGAAAAACAACTTCAATCTGGAAAAAGGTGAACAGAATGCGAGCTGACCTCCTTACCTGCAAAAAAAAAAGAAAAAAAAGAAAAAAAAGAAAAAAAAAGAAAAAACGATCTCTGGGTCAGAGCTAGGAAAACGTGAATCCCTCACCTTCTCACTGTTCTTACTCCCCCCAAAGGTAATAAGTTGACTTCCTGAACAAGGTCAAAACTGACAATTTAGGAGTGGAGAAATGTTTATCGAATAGGATTTCAATTTCAGTAAAACTGATATTGAGCACTACTGCTGATAACTATCCAGCTCTACTGGTGGTTTTGACCTGTGCAATTCTTACGATTATTTCTAGCCCCATATGGTAAGATCATGTTTGCTACGATAGCAACCGAAATGTGCCTGGTGTACATTCCATTATAATACGGGTTCCTTATTTAAAAAAGCAACAGGCAAATACGTAACAAGAATTTAACAGTTTTGAGACTACTTACTATCCAATACAGGAACGGATGAGGCAGGATAATTTATAATACAATAAAACCTATGCTAAATTTAAAGTTAACGAGGAAGATTAAAGAAAGACGAACATTTGAAAAGATAGGACATTTCATTTTTAATCAGTCAAAAAAGAAAAGAGTTCTGGACAACTTCAAACTCCACACACGAAAAAGCTGTGGTCACTCACACATTAAATATAATTACTATCTACGCATATGCAAAAATATAAGGCTCTATTTCATACAGGAGAACCCTTTATAGAAACCATTTTAAAATTAAGCAAAACTTCTTAACTTACATATGAGGTATAAGTCCTTCTAAATAGGTTCCTTTAAAGATTTAAAAACGAAATGCTAAATCTAAAAACAACATCCTTCGGTCAGTTCCCAAATTAAATCTACTTAAACAAAAACTGATAGCTCAGACACATACTCCTTTAATATTGTGCAGGCATCTCTAAAGTCCTCCATATTTTTCAAGTATGTTAACAAAACTCAAAACATCCCGCAGCACAGCACGAAACACACGTGTTATTCAAGGAAGACTCTGTTGCCACATGGCACAATACTGACTTATTTCTTCAATACGTTTTGAAATAAATATCAGGTCTGTTTTCCTGTTCTCCAAAAAGGCCAAAATTATAAACGACATTATAATACATCTGACTGTGGAAAGACTTCAGAGTGGAAAATAACGTCATCGATATTTTATCACAAAGTAAAGCTGGTAACAAATTCTAGAAGGAGTCAGCACTCTACTCGGATGTGCCCAGGGATTAAAGCTCGTCGTGGTAGAAGTACTCGTCGTGGAGCTGTCTGCCATAATCTGTGGCTTCACTGGTCAGAAACAAGTCCTGGTTCTCCAGAATCTCTGCTTCAGAGAGCTTTCTGTCACTATTCAAATCCATTTCATCAATGAGATGAAGAGCCTTTAAAACAAAACAAAAAGGTTTCAAGTGTAATAAGGATTTTCAGCAAAATGTTCACATTTTAACGTGATTTGGTTTATCAAAAACATTCAAGTGCTCCAAGTCTCTTTATTGTCAAGCGGCTAAAAATATCATACTGTAACCTGCTCTGTCTAGAGCTTCTCTCATCTCCTTCCTTAATTTCTGCTGGGTTCTGCCTCCTTCTAACTCAAATCCAATTCAGGATATCTCAGTTAAGCAAAAATTAGTATTACCCATTTTGAGCCCCTACAGGTAAATACAAACTTTTATCATCCCATTTACTGTACTATCAAACTAATGCGTGATACAATCTTAATTTCCTGTCTCCCTGACACTATAAAACAGTAGATTTAAATCAAGAAATGGCAATGCATTGATTCCAAATAAGTAACTCTATTACTTCTTTCTTCGGCTTAAGAACTGGAGCTTTGTTTCCTCTCAGTAGTATCGAATATGCAGGATGCTAAGTCATCCTGTAACACTCACCTCTTCTTGTGCGATGCCCTGATTATTGGGGACCACCCAAGATAACAGCTCTTGGGGATCAAGCCTGCCGTCCGCGTCTTTGTCATAATCATTTAGGAATCTATCTTTCTCAACAAGTATCCACTCTGGATCCTCATTTGCTGCTTAACATAGGAAAAAAAAACACACAAATATACATGCACAAGAATATCGCACGTATCCAATAAGCAGTTTGATATTTCCCTATGAAAGGGAGTATAAAGGGAATGAATTTAAAGCTTACTATATAAAGGCTGCAAACAGAAACAGAGATGCTTAACTGAAAAGTGCTGAAATAGAAGTACAGACTATAAAGTTCAGAAGCGACACGTAGGTCTAAACAACTCAGAGTTAATAAAGTGTTGCATGTGACCACAAACTAGTAATTTTGTTAACTGTTACTTGTTCTGATTATCTAGTTTTCCCAAATCTGAGCTGGATAATGGTCTCATGTGCGTCACGTGACTATGTGACGCTCCTTACATGTTCTTGCAAAGTGACACCATGTATAAGTTTAGGTGACATTTACAGTAAGGAAAGCTTTTAAGCAGCAAGTCTGAAGAGACAGCTGCTTACAGAAAAGGCTGCATATACCAACTCCTCAAATTTCAGACAGTCAGTCACCTTCCACGCAAGTATTTATAGTTTTATTTATAAATAAATATAATACTGTTTTATATTTCTCTTTAAGATACTCATGCAAAGATACAGAATTTCATCTACAAATATCAACCCTTACTTCCTCCCTCCTTTGATTTTATGACTACATCATATTTGTCTGAAGTCAGATGTATGTTGGAATCTACACACGGAACTGAAGCGAGCAGGACACTGTAAGCTGTCAGTCCCTGCTTTGCTTGTATGATATTTAACTTGGCAGAACAAGTAGAAATCAGTCAAGTTCTTGTTGCTCCATTTTCCTGTCAAACAGCTCTCTCAACGAACAAGATGGTCTTTCAACTTTTCTTCAATTCCACTTTTCCCCCTCCTCTCCCCCGCCGCCCCCGGGCTACTTACTTGGATCCCGCCTGTAGTCACCAAGAAATTCTTCCAAACTAACAAATCCATCACCGTTTTTGTCATGTTCTTCTAAAGCTTCTTGAATGACAAATTCCTATTGCATGTTCATAGAAAAAATTAGGAACAAAATTTTCAACCCCATTGCTGTCTGAATCACTCCTTTAGGAATAATCATCTCGACTGTCTTATGTTTGCAAGATAATCTTTCTAAAGTACAGAATCCAGAAGCGGGAATAAAACCCTGAATATTAAGTAACTTTGAATTCAATACCCTTACGCTTCTGCTGTTAAAAATTCCTCTTCGCCCTCCCAACCTTGGGACTGAACTCGCGCTTCCGTTTCCTGCACCCCCTCCCTTCCTCAAGGGCATCTCTCACTACCCGCCCGTCTTCTTAAACCCCACTCTCCCTCCAGTCCACCGACGTCCCAGAACCCTGACCTCACGTCTCAGCAGACTGCTGTTCTACTTCCAGATCTAAAATGTGTCTGGCCCCCACAGAACCTCAACCTCCTTGCTTCCCCGTCCACCAAATGGACCCCCATGCCCCCAACTCTGTCCGTTATCCGGGTTTCTCACCGGCCCATGCTCCTCGTGAAGCCAAAGACACCTTTCCAGTGATACCAACCCGAGACAGCCCGGCTCCTGGCCAGCTGCTTCAGGGCTTCCCTCACGGCCTTCCCACAGCCTCTTGCACCCTCTCTCAAGCCCGTCCCCACCCAGCACATCAGACACGTCGCTTTCTCCTTCATTCCAGAGTCAAGTCTGACACAGAGAGAATAGAGCTTAGTCCTTATCATTTTTTTTTTTTTTTGCCATTTCAGTGGGTTCTCAAGATAGCCTGGAGGTCTGTCTCTGCCTCAGTTTCCCTCACACACAACCTACAGCTGTGTTTTGACACCTCCACTCTCTCTGAGCCCATGGCGACTCGCTCCAACACCCTTGGCAGAGACCCCGTCCTGTTTCCAGACACGGTACAGTTTTGCTGAAATGCTGTTTACCAGCACTGTCCCTTTGCCCTTAACCACCTCTGTTTTGATGCCTGTTCCTCTCATCCTCCTCTTTGATCTCAGGAGTTAAAGCCATCTGTCACCTCTCCTTCAGGGCAGAGCCCACCGCTGTCCTCCTGGCCCCGCGTTCCGTTTCCTCGGCGCCGTCTCTCCTCTGAACCCCGGCCTCTGCCGACGCTTCTGTCCCTTCTCCGCCTGCTCCTTCCAGGCCTTCGGTTACACTCAGGTCCCCTGAATTGGCTGCACTGCTACACCACCCTCTCGGTCCCTATTCCTCCTTGACTTGCCCCTCACAGGTCACAGCTGCTGCTCTGGTTTCCTCGCGACCTGCTGCTGCCCGACACCTTTGTCTGTATTTGAAAATCGCGCCTGTAATGAACATGTTCTGAACAGTCTCCAATGCTAGCCACATCCGGGGCTTCGCCCACGTCTGCATGAAATATCACCTAATTACGATTTGTTCATTTTCTAACTCAATCTTAATCTGGAGAGCCAAGCATCTGTGTTGGAGGGAGGCTCTGAGAACGCTCAGAAGTTACAGTTCAGTGCTTGGTGTGTACGTGTACGTGTGACTTTTCTGGGTCAGGGTCCATGGTTTGCATCTTTTTTAAGGAGTCTGTGATCCAATAACAGTTGAGAATCGCTGATTAAAATGATGATTCTTCCAGTCCAGCAATCCCCTTGGGAAACGAGACTCATTTCAATAATGGTGCCAAAATTAAACTTATTTTTGGAACCACATGAATAAAAACACCTTTAAATTCTGACGTTTAATCCAAAGTAGAATCACTTAAGTTGATCTTGTATCCTCACCTTTTCCTGTATCGACTCTTCTCTTATGGGGAAGAAGGGTTACGCAGAACAATCAAGGCAAACAGAAATGACTACCGCTGCTCTGAATGAGATGCCACTTATTGTCACGCATCTTAGTGCTGCCATCGACTCCAACTCGGCACCATCAAAGCACCGAGTCTCCCCATTCTGCCCATGGTGCCTCCTTTTTATCACTGCTACACGAGCGCAAACCCTCAGGTGTCTCGGACTCTTCCCCTCCCATACATATTCAGTCAGTGGACATTCCTGTTTATTCTTTCTTCAAAATGTTGATCAGATCTATTTCATTCCATTGCCACATCGTATTCCTGACCGAAACATGTAACGCCTCAATTACTTCATTGCTTTCACTGGTCATTCCCTATTCAGTTTTTAACTGTTTCTTTTTTCCCCAGAGAAACAAAACCCATCCTCCTCTGTCTGACCTGACAGGGCTCAATTAGCTTGTCTGAACTGAATTTTGGCACTTAACCAGATTGTGCCCAGCAACGTTCTTAAACTAGGTCAGGTATTTTGTGCCAAGTGAGAAGTCGGAAGCCTCACAAGGGCGAGAGAAGTGGAACTGATTGTGGTGTCTCGGCACTGAGCTACGTGGAAAAACGTATGTGCCGCCTTGTCAAGGCAGCAGCCTCTAACTGTGACCCATTAAACAAAAAACCACATCTGCCCTGCCTGAAACACCCAGAGCACAAAGCCACAGTGCTGGACGCCAATGCCAGGCAACAGACCTCAACACCAATGTTTGGTCTAGTTTTTAAAGGTATTCTGTTGCATTCATCTTTATTCTCTAATATAACAGTTCCTTCTTTCAACAAGCACGGCCTCAGTCAGCGTTTTCTAAGTTAAACCTAGAGTGCGACAAACTGCTAAGCGCTGGGACTTTTTTCACGTCCTCCAGGAAGATGAGGGGGCTCTTTATGTCCACGAGGTGGAACAGCATTCAGTCATCGGCAGCTGTATCTGTACCCCACCCCATGATAAGGGATCCAAGCATGACACGTTTTCCAAGACTAAAAAATTGATGGTGTAAATGAAAAAGAAAGTTTCAATGCTACTAACATTGAAAAACCAGAGGACAGTCTGGAAGCTATAATGGGACAAGGAAGACACTGAAAGGAGAGCTTAAGGAAAAAAAAAAAGCACCCAAGGGAAGACTGATGGTCACACACACACAGTGAAACAAAGAAAACTCAGCCCTTTACCTTCTCCCTCCCAATAAGCATCCCGCACCCCCAGAAACCCTCCTCCCTACCCCTCATCTTAACCGGGTGGAACTCTGGATCTCCCTCCCTCTTAAAATTCCGGTTACTATACAATTCATTTTAATGACTTAGTGAAAACAGTTTTAAAGTTCTGGTCACTCAATAATTCCCTTAGAATTTTTCTTTCTTACCGTCATATAATCAACTTCTTCAGGATGCTCAAAAGCAATAAATTCTTCAAGATTCAGACCAGGATCTAAATATTGGTTAGCTTTTTCAAATCGCTTCTTGTCCTTTAAGTGAAGCTTTGGAAATGAAATATTGAACATGTTTAAAGGTCTCATCCATAATATAACATCATAAACAATACTTTGAAAAATGCGAACTATCTGAAATCCAAAGTACATTCTTATATATTGCTTTATCTTCACATCGCTCCTTTGAAGGTTGTCTGGGTGAATAACAGACATGTATTAGAAGCAGTACGGAGACGGGCTCTGGAGTCGGAGACACTCCGACCTGAATCCCAGCTGTGCCACTCACCGGCTGTGCTGCTCAAGGCAAATTGCCCAACCTCCCTGGTTTCCTCAGTGATAAAACTGGGACAATCTGACACCAAAGGCAAAAGCAACAAAAGCAAAAATAAACCAGTAAGACTATATCAAACTGAAAAGCTTCTGTACAGCAAAGGAAATCATCAACAAAACGAAAGGCAACCGATTGAATGGGAGAGAATATTTGCAAATCGTATATCTAACAAGGGGATAAAATCTAAAATACATAAAGAGCTCATACAACTCAATAGCAAAAAACGAATCTGATTGAAAACGGGCAGAATATCTGTACAGACATTATTCAAAAGAGGACATAACAGATGGCCAATAGATACACGGAAAGATGCTAAACCTCGTTGATCATCAGGGAAATGCAAATCAAAATCACAGTGACATACTACCCACACCTGTTAGAATGGTTACTATCAAAGAAAAGCAAGTGTTGGTGAGGATGTGGAAAGAAGGGAACCCTCGTGCACTGTTGGTGGGACATAAATTCGTGCAGCCACTATGGAAAATAGTATGGAGATTCTTTGAAATGTAAAACGGAACTATAATATGATTCAGCAATTCCACTTCTGGGTATTTATCTGAGGAAAACAAAAGCAAGAACTCCAAAAGATCTATGCATCCCTATGTCCAATGCAGCATTATTCACCATAGCCAAGATATAGAAATGACCCAAATGTCTACTGATGGCTCAATGCATTAGAAAAACTGTGGTATGGATATACAATAAAATGTTATTCAGCCAAAAAGAAAAAAAAAAAAAGAATGAAATCTTGCCATTCCTAACAACATGCACGAATCTCCAGGACATTAAGCTAAGAGAGACAAGTCAGACAAAGACAAATACTGTATGATCTCTCTTATGTATGAAACCTGAAAAATATTCCAACCAAACAAACACTAAGCAAATAGATATAAAGAACAGACTGATGGTCGCCAGAGGGTGGGGTAGAAGAAATGAGTAAACTGTTTTGGCTTTAGTTTAATTGAATAATTTAAAATAAATAAAATATTAAGCAACTCGTATGAGAACAATCAAATAATTAGTAAACATTAAGTATTAAGTATTTAATAAATGTTATAAATTACCATTAATAGAAAAACTGAGATTAAGTAATTTATTGAAAGCATGTCAGATACAGCTAAAATATGTTGAACTTGGATCCCTTCTGTCCTTTCTAAGGTAGTTCACACTATCTTCTTTAACATTAAAGCTCAATATTTTTGGAATCCCCAAATAGCAATAAATTCACACTATGTATGAATTCTTGCTATGCCATTTTAAAATTGTTTCTTGTCTTCAAAGTGATTGTTCAAAAATATACTAAGCTTTCCTTCGGGTCAAGACGGCAGAGTAGATGTTGTTATGAATAAAACTGTTTAAAACATTATATATAAGCAGGTTTCAGAAAAACAGTCCTCTCATAAGAACACTTGTGGTATACATACGTACTATCTGGAAGTCTGTCCTTAGTAGGCTTTTTATAGTGCTAACTCTGTATGTTCAGATATAAACACACTGAAAAGCAGAAATGGGCCTATTTTGATGTTAAATGAACACACTCATGTCTATTTTCTCAAGGCCATCTTCCTTTTTTAAAAAGTATGCTCAAGTAGTAAATCAAGTAGTAGCTATGAGAGATAAGGCTGCTTTTAATTAATCTCTCAAAGGTAATTCTGTAATCCAGAGCCTTGGAAGTCAACAGTGCAGTATTACCAGTTCTGCTTAAATTCTATTTTGAGAATTTCTGGAAACAACTTCCTTTTCTGTAAACTGGTGTCTATTAAACTGCACATTTTTAAACAGCACAATTTCAAATATTTTAGAAGCTTTTAATTTACGTGTTTCACTGTCGAAAAGAAATGCTGTCTTCAACAGTGTTCTAGAATAATAGCGTTTAGGTAGCACTTATTTACAAAATCAATTCTTTTACGATGACCGATTTACAGAGAGGCTTGCTTCTTCCCCAAAAGAATTCATCTTTTAAATATTCAGATTCCACCGGCCAGTTAGTTATCTTACTGAATTCTGACAGAAAAGGAAAAAAAAAAAAACTTGTTTCCAAAGTCCTGCTTTTAATTTAATGTTTCATAATGTTTTAAATAACTAGACCAAATAATTTTCATTTTATGTTCAGGTTTAACATGGGAAAAATAGACAAACAAGACTACTTCCTAGAGCCAATTAAGTTCTTTTTGAATAAACTCCTATTCAAAATACTAAGTGCTTAGATTTCCTTATGAAAGAACCCTTCAATTTGGAGCAAAAAGGTCCATGTTTCAGCGGAGGGAGGTGAATTTGGCCAAATTTGCCTATGAAGGATCTCTTTCAAGAAACTAAATTTCTTTTAAAAAAAGAGAGAGAGAGAGAAAGAAAGTAGCTTTCTGGTTCACATTTCTCAGATTTTTGAAATAAATTGAAATAATGTGATTTTTGAAAGCAGTTTTATTCATGGTCATTTGAAGAACACAATTTAACAGCAACTCATTTCTAAAAGATAACAACAAAAATAAAAGATAACCAAAAAAACTGTCAGTTTCATAAAAGCTCAACACTCTTTTCTTCTGTATAAAAAATTTGTTTTCCAGTGGAGGATATATGTTACATACAACAGCAGAAAGACAGAAACTACTCATTATTTCGTTTCATATCGCAACAGAAACTCCTGAAGAACAAAATTGCCATGTTTTGGTATGCTAATGAATTTATATGAGAAAATATATAATTTGTGATACCAGACAGAAGTCTAGGCCTTAAAAATTAGTCCCCTGTAAGATTACATCTCACAGAAATAAATACATGCACATTCAGCAGCTGGCTTTAGAAATTAGAGCGACTACCTTTTGCCAGGTAGGTCCCCAAACTTTACTTACTCTGCTTCCAGGTGCTGCCTGTACTTGTTCATCATAAAGAAATGTTTTTTCAGGTATTTCACAGCCTGAGAGGGTCATTATTCCTGGTTATCTCTATATTATATATGTTAACATTAAAAATAAGATAAAATTCAGGTATCAAAATGATTTGTTTTTAATAAGTTTCTATGTAAAAAATTTATTTGGATAGCCAATTACTTTTTATGATTTTTTTATTTATAGAATAATGTTTACCTTATAACTTTTAAGACTGATTTCATTCTTCATCTTTGATTCTTTATTTTGGAGAATACTACAGCTGTTTATGAATTCATTTTTATACCCCATATCTACTTTTAGAGCATTATTCCACTTTTAGGGAATTACATCAAATTCTAATAAAGTATGATTAGCACTTCATGTAGAGACACATTTCTGCATTGTCAAAGAATAACCAACAGGACATCCACCGAGAAATGTTCGTTTTTGGGACCCATCAATTTCTTTAGGCTATTACAAGCCATCTAATTTGTTCTTAAAATGTACAGCCCACAGTCAACACACAAGAGCACACAGGTGAGGGATGCTGCACTAGGACCCGACAATCTTTTTACAGGAAAAAGATGTTTACCAGTAGTTTATACTATGAGTCATGGATCTCTTCAAAGTGAAGATTTTCTTCTCAACACCATCATCTACTACATCAGCTCCTCTCGAGAATATGGATTAACAAAACCACACAGACACATTTCTTATATTTTGACGGGATAGTAACTAAATCTTTTGGGTGCCAAGAGAAAGAGGAAAAAAAGGGACACAACTAGAATCTAGTTATAGTAAGATTTTAATGCTGTATTTAACTTCTCTGTTGCTCTTTGGCAAGGAAGTAATAATATCATACCATCGTTTGGTTTTAGAAGTCTCAAATTCGAACGATCCTTTTAAGTAAAGGAGCATACCGAGTAGATAGCCACCTCAAATCTCATTATCATCATCTATTTTCTTTTAGGCACTAAGAAGTGAAAAGACTGATTCACACTCTCTTCAGTCTGCTGTAAGATGAAGACCCAAATAAGGAGAAAAAAAAGAGAAAAACGAAAGATACATTTTCCCCTGTAAACTGAATCCTAACTAACCTAAAGCTGATACAGTTAACTAATGCCTCAACAATTTTTATAAGCAGATTATATAAATATTAAAGATAAACCTATACGAATCACACGTGCTTTCTTCAACGATATTCTTTTAATCAATACAAAACTGCTTACCAGCCCAACCGCTGCTGGTTATTACCATTTCTCCATACTGTTATCACCCCATTTTTAGGGATGAGGAGACAGAAGCGTGAGGAGGTGACATGACTTGCCCCGAGCAGCGTAACTGTTCATGGTGCAGCTGGATGTAAAACAGGTAGACTGGCTCGCTCCAAGGCCAGAGCCCTTACCTGCACTCTGGTGGCATATACGCTATCATGAGCAGATAAACAACCAACTTTGAGCTGGTGATGACCTCTAGAGTCAAGTGGCCGATACGACTCTAAAGTAAGTGACATGTTCAGTGATGAAATATAGCCACAATAAAAATGAAAAGGCAGGTACTAATAACGGGGTAAGTTAAGGGATTGGAAGAGGCTCAACTGTTTTCCAAGCACCCGTGACTAATATTCTGGGACATAACAGTTTGCAACAGGTGTTTGGCTTTACTTTTTTCTACCCATATATAAAAAACTATCTTAAAAAAAAAAAAGGAATTTTGAAATACAAAAGGTACGTGAAATAGCAATTTATCAAGAAAAAAGTGCTTACTAATTACTAAGCAAAAAGTCTTTCCTAAATATTGTCTTCCTCAGCTCTGCTAAGAAGGGTATGTTTAAACAAATTAAACCGTGAGACACAAGAGAACTCACAGTGATACTGAATCTTCGATTATGAGTTACTTTAAATGGTGCGACAGCCATGGAAGACAGTAGTGGAGTTCCTCAACAAATAAAAAATAGCATTACTATATGGTCTACCAATTCCAACTACACTTACGGGTACATACCTAAAAGAACTGGGAGCAGGGTCTCGAAGAGATATTTGTACACCTATGTTCACAGCAGCGTTATTCACAATAGCAAAAACATTGAAGCAACCTAAGTGTTTCCATTTACAGATGAATGGATAAACAAGATGTGGTACATACATACAATGGCGTATTATCCAGTCTTAAAAAGGAAACTGTGACACACGTTAAAACATGGATGAACCTTAAGGACATTAAGTGAAATAAGCTAGTCAAAAAAAAGGACAAACATTGTGTGCTTCCACTTACGTGAGGTCCCTAGAGTAGTCAAAATCAGAGACAGAATGTGAAATGGTGATTGTCAGGGGATGGGAGAGGGAAGATGAGGAGTTGTTTAACTGGCTGAGTTTGTTTTGCAGGATGAAGAGTTCTGGAGATCGGCTGCACGACAACGTAAAATAAACTCAACGCCACTGAGCTGCACACTCAAAAATGGTTAAAACGGTAAATTTTATGTTATGGGTATTTTACCATAATTAATTATTTTTTTTTAAAGGAGAATGAGCCTCCTATGGTCTTCTTAGTAAATATGATATAAAACTGTTCAATAACATAGAAAATGAAATTTTGAGATACATTTTGAGATACAAAATAAATTTTGAGATAAAAAATACTCTAAAAAGCAACTCTGGAAATGAGGACAAGTGATATTCCTGAGAAAACCAGATGCCAGGATAATGCAGGCAGTCCAAAATAAGAGTCCTAAACCCAGCTAGAAAAGAAACCATCAAGATGACCACTGAAGTGGGACAGTGACTACCTAGAGAACAAGGCAATCCAGTCTACAACCTCAGGCTCTTGTGCTCATCCGAGTAGGCAGGTAAAGTGAATTGGTATGATCAAAAGGAACAGCTTGTACACATGTACTCACCTGCCTAAAAGACTCCTCTTCTGCATCATCCAGAGCTGTGTTTTCATCAAAGTCAATCACACGATCGTACATCTGAATGTTGTATTCATCCCACGACACACTACCATCGCTGTTTTTATCATACTCAACAAATTGCTGTTTCGCTTCTTGCATTGCGTAATGTTTAAAAGACATTTGAATCCATGAACTGAGCTCACCTATGAGAATTTTCCAGAACACAGTAAATATAACAGTGATTCTCTTACACCCAGAGTGAGGATTTCTAAACCATCTTTAAAAGGAAAAAAAAAAAGGCTTCAATGTTTGCAAATAATGGACGAGAACTGGCTTAGTTGTCCCCATAGAAACAAGAATAGGTGGTGGGAAAAGCTGTTTAGAGTCAAAGAATATTACAATATGTGATTTGAATAGAATGCAAGCTCTTTGAGTGCAGTTTGTGTATATTTTGTTCGCCAAGGCACTCCAAATGCCTAGGAAACTCATGGCTTATTAAGTATTTATTAAATGAATTACCAATAGGTCAAAACAGCACTTGACTTTTTAAAAAGATTATCCATAAAACTGCAGGTACCTTTGCTATCTCAGTTTTCTCAGGAAGTACAAATCTCTGAATAACTACCTACTGATTTTAATATGTATTAGAAAAAAATCTTTCCTTTATGAAATATAAAATTTCATTTAAAATAAATTTACATTGAGTTGGAGTGAAACATATTATACAAGGAAATAATACATGGTATGTAGATATGGCCTAGACTATGAAATGATTTTCAAGTGACTGAAGCTTGAGAAACACTGTTATAGCATACTCCCTTTAACCATGACATAAAACATCCGAAGGAAACTTTAACAAAATTGTGCGTAGCGATTATGATTTATGACCTTCTTGCAACGGCTGTCTGTCTTAACTTGGTACCTTGAAGACATAGAAGGAAGGTTTCTAAATCTCAAATGTCCACTTTCACATGAACTTAAAAAAATTCTATTCTATACTGTGTTACAGAAAGAGGGGGCATGAATATTTGCAAGTATAGACGGGGTATACCATTTGGTTTAAAGAGTAGTACTCCTCTATTGTTTGGGGGGGGTCAGATGAATAGAAGATGCTTTCTATCTCTCCGGTAACTTTAAATCAGGGCAGAATAGTAATTATAGCAACTACATACTAAACAATTACTATATACATTGTTCTTCAACACAAGGCAATTACAATCACTATTTTACCATTCAGAAAATGGAGGTTTGGAATTGAGAACTCACAGCTAACGAGCAGCAGGGTCCCTGCTTTAAAACCCAAACTCCTTTCACTGACATCTGCTGTCTCTCAAGAATCTAAGTCCACTCCTGACCCTTATAATGCAAATTAGCAAAATTCCCTGAAGGGTCCTCAAGAATGAGGGTTTCTTCTAGTTTAAGAGCTCATCATGGCGTAACAGAATACAGAATAGAGCAGTGAGCAGAAACATGGGTTCACACTTCAGTTGTGCCCTAAGGGGACATTTACCCTCTCTCGAATTTTTGTTTTCCTATCTGTAAGAGGAATATTTGGACTAAGTTCCTTTAAATTTTTTTAAAAGTTTACTATTAAATATTTGATCATATGTAGGCCCTTAAAGTCAGGTACCATACAGTCTTCCAAATCAACTTGTTCTGTGTGCTTTCTAGTGTAATCAGAGATGGACCCATTTTAATGGGTATTAGAGTCAAACGTGCTTAAATGTGTGTGTTTCTGTCTCCTACAAAGGGATTTCTCCATTGTTACTCGTGCGGGATGTCCTTACTTTCGGTGAGGAAGCCGTCTGAATCCAAGTCAATTTTCTTTATGATTGACTTCAGTCTTTTGTGTTGCTCTTCGGGGGTGAGTTTGACATATTCATCGACTTCTTCCTTTGGAGGGCAAGCGATACACAGGGGTCAAGCATTACTATCAGTGGGGCAAAATGATGTAGAGAAACGGGGCTACCAGAAGCCTCCCTTACCGAGGTGTTTTGGGATGACCCGCACCTGCTCTCCAAGACCCCGGCCCTATACACACCCTCAACTATCCTGCCTCGTTCCGGGAGGGCAGAGGGGACCGCATCCTGGGCCACCGCATTTCCTCAGGTTTGTAGGAACTAGAGAACGAGCGAAGTCCCGCCCGGCCCCCACGGTCAGGCCTCCCCAGCGTCGCCTGCCGCCCCTCTTTGTCCCCGGACAAAGAGCGCGGCGGCCGCGGGGATGACGCCGCC